AATAGTCATGGTCACATCGTTTGAAGGAGGGTGTGCTAGGGGCATTCCTTGTAAGTGTTGCAAGTTACGTAAAGTCATGTGTAATATTGTTGTCTAGATTGTCAGAAATCTCGTCAACAATCAGTAGATCTATGGAACTTCTTTCACCATCTCCTTTTAGTAGACTGATGGTTGTACATGGAATAGTCTTGTATCCGGTGCGAGGGTTCGAAAATGATTTCAAACAATACCGTGGCGACTCGCGAATTGCAGTTAGCTGAAGTAGTGATTCGAGCAGTTTTTAACAACACTCGTGGAGGTTGCAGGGAATTGGATTCTACCTGATGTTCATCAACTTGAAATTGTTGCTTTCTATCATGGGTAGACGCGTGAGCGAAATAGACGCGTGATTCAGACGGTTTAGAGACTGTAGCGGAAACTGACATGTCAGAATGTATTGAATTGTGGTGTCTGGCCTTACAAGTTCTGCATGTGAAACGTGATCGACACTCCTTAACTGTGTAACGGCCCAAACAATTGAAACACAATTTTTGATGTTGAATAATATTAAGTTGGGTTGATACTATTCTGCAGTCGTTAGTATAGTGTTTCCCCTTACAGTAGATACATTGCAGAGGTTTCTGAGGTCGGGAGAAGTTTGATTCCATCTTATTAACGGTGTTTCTGGTTCCAACTGGCGGTTGATATTCTTTGTTTCGAAAGGTTCCATTGAACGCAGACACATTATCGGTTTGAGGTTTTTGACTATTCGTGGTGAATGCGGCGATCGATGCATTGTATGGATTACTATCGATAATCTCACTTTTCTGTCCGATATCGAGTACTTTTATTTCTTGTATCATGTGTTTACTTAATAATGCTACAGTCCAATCTTCACTAGAATTAGAACGAGAAAGTTGTTGTTGAAACGGTATCGGCAATCGTGATAATAACATTGGAATTAAAAGTTCCTCGTAACCGGCTTTGTCTTTCCCTAGGGCTTTGAGTGAACGAACTGAAACTTCTAAATTGTCGTGAAATTCGCGTAACAAAGCAGCTGTATAATCGGGGGCTGTTTGAGACCACAAAGCTTTCATGTGGGCATTAATAATCGATTGAACTCGACCATAACGTTTCTCGAGCATTTCATACGCTAATTTATAGTTCTCGGCAGACAGTTCATGTGCTAATTTATAGTTCTCGGCAGACAGTTTTCGCCTCTCCGTCGACAAACGAGCGCAAATACGTAAATTTCTGGATATGTGAGATTTGTTCGTTAGAGTCAATTGCGACCTTGAAATTATCATTGAATTCATTCCACGCAAGTGGATCTCCATAAAATATTGGTATTGTTAATCGTGGTAATTGAACAGTTTTGCGTTGGGATTGATTGGTAGCGATTGGTTCACTTGCCTGTTGCGTTGTGGCTTCGAGATCCCTGAGTTGTTTGTTTTCCGTTGCAATGCGTATTTGACCGGACACACTGTACTCGTCAACAAACTTCGCAATACGTGTACATCTTCTTGAAATATCGACTTCAAAGTCCACGGTTTCATCAAATTCCGTGTCAGAAGGATCAACTATGTCGATGATATCTTCATCAACGGATACGAGTTGTTCCATGAGGCGATTCAATGTGGGTTGGTTGTAAACGATTTCCTTGTAGATGGTCTCTTTGTCAAGTTGTTCGTCGTAGTCCTGGATGAGTGTTTCTATCGATGCGATCACTTTCATTAGAATTGTTCTGGCTTTGTCCCTCTTCTTCAGCAAATTCTGTAGATTTGGCGGCATGATTGACAACACGAATGTCATACGAAGCATAAAACTTGAAGTACTCGATGAGTTGGATTATAACTGTATCTCGTTTGGTATGGGTTTTCTTGACGGTGATGAAAATCTTCGTGGGTTTCTCTCGTGAGTTGATTCGCAGAAATAATCGATGAACTTTCAGGAGAAATCCTAGTTAGCAATCCTGGTCTCAGCACCAAATATGTGGTTGGGTTCGGTTGGCCACATTCCAACTTGAGTAGGATTTCAGCGGAACTTGAACTTAAACTCTCACAAATCAATTGATAACATGAACTGCATTTATTTGCGAACGAAACTCTTCAACGAACTGATAAATACATAAACTTGTAGAACTGACCCACAGTCGAGCACAGACTAACAAACAAACACAACTACCGTTCAACTTTAAAAGTGAAATAGAACATTACGGCGTTTTCCACGCAGACTAAGATTAACCAATCAGTGACTGCGTTCTGAATCAATAATGGAATGTCAGTCAACACCTATGGCTTATTATGGTTTCAACGATAAGCTGGTACATACTGATTCACCATCTGAGCATTAGTTGGATAATACAACCCTGGAATATTGGCTACCACTTCATAGTTTATAGGTTGGTATGATGGTTGACCTAATGTATTGTATGTCAACATACTTGGTGGTCTTCTTTCCCTGTTGGAATTTCTCCTGTTTGATGGTTGATAATCAGTTTGTTGTTCACTACCAGCTTGGATGTCGTCTGTATTGTCTGTTCTTCTTGAATCATCACCATTTGTATGCTCCTCATATACTGTTTGTTCATCTAACATAACTGGTGATAAGGATGGTACTGCTGGTGTATCAGGTATAGTATTGGCTGATTTATTCTGTCTTGGTTCACAGACATCAGGCGATGATGAAATGTCGGGTATGGTAGTTGTGAATTCTTGTTGGGTTTCAGGATTATCAGGAGACGATATATCGGGTATAGTAGTTGTGATTTCTTGTTGAATGTGATGCTCTTCTTGGATGATGATAAACTATACAATACTCATCTTCATATCCATCTCTAGATGTATTGTCAGCTGGTTGGATAACATTTTGATTTTGTTGACTGCATTTTTGTCTTCGGTGCCTGCTACGTAGTAGTGCATTGGTTGGCATCTGTGGCGTCTCCAAGGGTAGTTCATCACATGGCATTAGTAGATTGCGATGGATGACTCTGTGTTTCCCTTCACCATTCTCCTGTCTTATTTTGTAAACAGGGCTACCTATTCCAATCTGTTCTATGACAACATAAACTTTGTCTTCCCAGTATGATCGGAGCTTGCCCGGTCCACCGAGTTCTCTTAAGTTTCTAACAAGTACCATATTACCAGGTTGGAGGACAGTACTGTGTACTTTACGGTCATAATATTCTTTACTCTTATCAGCTAACTTCTTTGAATGCCGATCTGCTATGCTGTACGCTTCTCTCATACTTCTCTGCCATCTAGATACATAGTCTTGGTGGGTTCTGATATTGTTGCAATCATTTTTGTTGAAGCCAAACAGGAGGTCAATTGGTAGTCGTGGGGATCTGCCAAACAACAAATAAAATGGGGAGAATCCTGTTGCTTCACTTCTCGTACAGTTATACGCATGGACCATTTTATTGGCCGACTCCTTCCATCTTGACTTTTCCTTTTCAGGTAGTGTTCGAAGCATAGAAAGTAGAGTTTTGTTCATTCGTTCTACTTGACCATTACCCATTGGATGATATGGTGTAGTTTTAGACAGCTTAATTCCACTGAGTTGTTGTAATTTCTTGAATAGCTGGTTTTCAAATTCTGTGCCCTGATCGTGGTGAATTCTCACAGGAATCCAAATCGAGGGATAAAGTCATTGAAGATTTTCTCAGCTACTGTTTTGGCCGCCTTGTTTGTAGTGGGATAGGCTTGGGCGAATCATGTGACATGATCCATAATTACCAAAATGTACTCGTATCCACCAATGCTTCTTCCCAAGTGTAGAAAATCGATTGATATGATTCAAATGGAGTAGTTGCAGTTATGTTAACTAGTGGTGCTCTCGTGTTGATGATAGGCCGTTTCTGTTTGAGACAGTTACATTGTTTCGTTATATATTTTTCAATATCTCGCTGCATGTGTGGCCAGTAAAAGCGATCTCTGGCCATGGTAACCATACGCTCTGTCCCTAAATGACCCATATCTTCATGGAGGATTTTGTAGACCAATTGTCGTAGTTTTTTTGGTAGTACTAACTGCATTCGTGTTGGAGTAGTTTGATGTAAGATACCATGATTATCAACTATTAGAGTATTATATTCATGCATCAGTGCTTTTGTCTCATGTGTCTCACCTTGACGTTGCATTTGGGAAGGTCTCAGGCTGTTCTTTTTGTAGTGAATTACCCTGTTGATTGATTGATCTTCTTTCTGAGCTTCTCTGATTTTATTCCTGGTGAATGGTGTTATACTGGAATCTTCATTACCAATAGACTTATTGATTACGCACTGATTCACAACCAAAGCATCCACCCAAGCTATAGAACCATCAAGACTGCCATTAACTAACTGTACTGTTGCACCAATAGTATCTTGGGTCATGACCTCTTTACATTCTCCCATATACAGATCCATGTCAATGGGCATTCGTGATAGTGCATCAGCATCTGCATTGGCTTTACCCGGTCTATATTGAATAGTGAAGTTGTAATCTGCTAGTTCTGCTACCCAGCGATGACCCGTTGCATTCAGTTTGGCAGTTGTCAGAACATATGTGAGGGGATTGTTATCGGTATAGATGTCAAATGATGGAGCATAATATAAATAGTCTTGAAACTTCTCTATTATGGCCCACTTCAATGCTAAGAATTCGAGTTTTCCTGAGTGTAGATGGTAATTTTTCTCAGCTGCAGACAGTGTTCTTGTACCATAACCTATAACAACCAGATCTCCATTTTGACGCTGATACAACACAGGTCCAAGTTCATCATTTGAAGCGTCTGTTACTAGAATATAGGGTTGATTATAATCTGGATAGCCTAGTATAGGTGGATTAACTAGTTGGTCCAATAAAATGTTTATTATCAAAATGTCTATTTTGATGGTGCTCTGTCCACTGGATTACTTTGTTTGATGATGCTTGTACCTTTGAAGACTTGTGTTTCGATCGCCCTGGTTGTTTCCTGGTTTTACAAGTCTGTTTTTGAATCTCCTTACTAACTGTGAGTAAAGCACAGAGAGGTTTGGAAATCCTAGAAAAGTCCTTTATGTACTGGCGGTAGTATCCCAGAAGTCCGAGGAGTTTTCTGAGTTCCCCAATTGTTTTGGGTGGGTTGTCCTTCAGTAACCTTACTGCTATTGTGTACTGCTATCGGGTCTGTATCCATGTATCGAACTTGACGTTTGAAAAGTGTACACTTCCTTTACTTCAGCTTGATCCCATGCTGTTGAAGTCTTTGAAGGACTTTTCTAATATGTTCAACATGTTCTTCAAACGTTTTTGAGTGTACCAAGACATCATCTAGATAGGGTTCACATAGTTGATGACTCAGCCCTTCCAAGCATTCTTCCATGTATTTCTGGTATTCTGTTGGTGTCGTCTTTAACCCAAATGGAATTTGAATCCATTCAAACTGGCCCCACGGTGTGACAAATGCTGTGAGTGGTTGACTTTCTTCGTCCATGAATCCTTGATGATATGCTTTTCCTTGGTCTAAAACTGAAAACCAAGAACTGCCACCTAGACGGTCAAGGATGTCTTGTATTCGTGGTATAAGTTGCCTATCGGCACGTGTCTTCTTATTTAGTTGTCGATAATCTATACACAGTCGTAGACTACCATCTCGTTTTCTGACACATACTAATGGCGAGGAATAAGACGATCGTGATTTGGTGACCCATCCTTGCTTTATCAAGTCTTCTAGATACTGTTTGACTTCCACATACAATGGCTTAGGTAGAGACCTGTATCTCTGTTGTACTGGTGTGGTGTCCTCTAAATGGATGCGTAGTTTTAAATCTTGGATACATCCTATGTCATCGTCACTTTCTGCGAAAGCACTGGATTCGTCTCTCAGCATTTGAAGTGCCAACTCTTGTTGAGATTCTGTGAGATGACTCAAATCAACAGGTGGATCCCAGTGGTTCTGGCAATTTTCTTTAGAAGTTGTTTGTATTTGTACGGCATCAACGTTGGCATTTATGTTGTTGTTGTCAGAACAACT